ACCCCAAAAGTTAAAAAAAAAAAAAAAAAACCCTTCTGCGGCCACGCTCTTGCCCTTGCAAAATTGGGGAATTAATGTGAGACTGTTACTGCCTCTGATAAGAGATAACTATAAGGCGAGACAAAGGGGAAGGTAGTCGGGGGAGAAAGAATCTGTTGGCCTTGGTTTGGGGTTTTTTTCCTCCTTCTTGTCTCTCCCTCTAAAGCGGAGGATCCGGCCCGGCCAGTTTGGATATTTATTAAGAAAAAGCCAAAGATAATTAACTTTTTTGTTTTTGTTTTGTTTGTGGGTGCCTCCCCTGCTGGCACTCCTGACCGCCTGGCAAATTAAACCTGTTCCCTGGGTGCTGGGCTGCCGGCAACTCTGCCGCGGCCTGCCCCGAGACCGCCGGGCCCAGCGGCTGCCCACCCACCACCCACCTTGGGTTTCTTAGGGTCACTTATGCCCCACCGATGCCACCTCCCCAGGCTCTTCAGACACCTGGAGCAGCCTGTGGGGCTGGGTAAGTGCCGGGGGCTTGGGAGAGGACTGGCGTGGGGTTGTGGCCAGCACACCCCTCAACAGGACATGGGGGGAAAAGAGGGAACTCTCCTGTGGGGCCAGGGTCTTCCTGCTAGGTCAGGGCTGTTGGCTTAGTGGAAGCGGGTGAGGAGAAGGAGCTAGAGAAGAGCAGGCAGAGGCCAGATTGGGCCAGGTCCATCCAAGCTCTTCTCCTGGGAAGCTGGCCCGTGGCCAGGACCCAAGGCCTCTGGAAATGCTGTGGAGAGCACATAGGGCCACAGCTGTCCACGAGACTGTACACACACACGCACGCACACACACACACACACACACACACACACACACTCTGCCTCGACCCAGCACAGGCTGCCGGGCCCAGCGGAGTGCTTAGAGTTGGTGCTTGGGTAAAAAGCTGGCTGCCCTGGAGCCATGCAGAGCCCAGAGGCCACCAAGGCCAAACCGTAGCCTGAGCCCTCACACTGCCCCTGGGCCAAGAAGGTGGCAGTCACAGACCTCTGGCTGGGGACAGAGTTGAGGGCATCTTGGGAGCCAGGACAGCCAGCAAGGTCCTGAGGGACCCAGCCCCGAGCTGCTGGGGTGGAGGGGCGGCCTGCGCCTCTGCTCAGCCCCTCCCCATGGGCCGGCGTCCCCCCGGCCCCACCAGCAGGCTGCTCCAGAAGGGCCTCCAGGTGGGCACCTGCTCCGGAGCTGGGCACAGAGGACAGGACATTTTTGAAGGATTTTGCTGGCCCCCTTTTTTTTCTCTGAAATGTAAGGATGTGCAATTTTTTTGGTTTCAATTTAGCATTGGAGAATTTTATAATTTAGTAATTAAAATCTCTGATAGGCTTTAGAAATTGCGGCTAATTGAATTTAATGGGAAGATGATTTTCAATTTTATTTGATTACCGGGACCCCTGGCATCGGTATTTATGGGAAAAAAATGGGAAATGTGCTGTGTGGGCTAAGATGGCATAATTGAATTAGGGATAATCGGATTTCTCCGTCATGAATTTCACTATAATTTTCCTATAATTTTCCATTAGATATCTAGTTTACAAATATTCACAAAGAAATGAAGCTCTTTCGGAATGGAGATTGCTGGCTAACAGGATTACGGGGCCGGGCGCGCGGCTGTGCCAGCCCCTATCCCGCCATAATGCAATCCCCAGATCTGCCTTACACTTAACTTGGGCCTGGCCTCGGTCCCTCGCCCCGCCACCCACTTTGCTGCTCCTCTCTGTCCTTTGTCTCTCCTTCATCCCCGCTCCCCCGTGCCCGACCCCCACCCACCCGCCCGGCCCTGCCGGTGACCATCTGGGCCCCGGGTGCCCACCAGTCTCCCCGTTCACACTTTGCTCGCAGCCCCCCCACACCCCAGACACCCTCCCTCCGCCAGCCAGGGGAGTGTGCTCACACGCAAACACACCGACTCCCTCGCAGGTGCGAACATGCTTGTTCACATGCATGCACAGTCCTTTGGCCAAGGCTTCTGTGCCCTGGCCCAGTCGCCTCGGAAGGAACCAGTTTATTGGGATCCTGGGGTGGGGTGCAGGAACAAAAGGAGCTTTGTTCGAGTTTATGTGAAAGTTACAAATTCAAAATGAGAGGAGATAAAGCATGAGATACCTGGTGTGTAAACAGGCTGGTGAGTGAGAAGGCCTGGGGCTCAGGAGGGAGGGAGAGTGAGTGGGCACCCCTGGGCTCGGGGACCGGGGAGTAGCGAGGCAGGCTGGCCTGGGGAGAGCCCACGCTGTGCCCTGGACGCAGTGAGGTGGGATGGCCTGGCGTGTTGTGATCTGAAGACGGAGAAGGCTGAAGCCTTCACTGGGGGGGTGAGGTGTGTAAAGAGGAGCGGTGGCTCTGGGCCTAGAACTCTGAAACCAGGAATCGGGGCTGGCATCGGGCTTTCCATCCCCGGCGTCCCCAGCACAGACATCCTCACTGTGGCCTGGCCTCCGGGTCTAGGGGTGTCACAACATCCGGGTCCTCAGGGCAGAAATCCCAAAGATGCCTGAGTTCTGGATCGCCCCCTTTTTTAAGCACACACCCAAAGAGAGAGAGAAATCTGGGGACCATTCCATGACACCGCACCCCCTCAATGCTTCAGCCTTCTCATCCTTCTCACATCACAACACGCCAAGGTGACTCCCCTCTCCTGAGCCTGTCTGCCCTGCTCTTCTCCAGGAAGGCGCCTCACTCTCGGGCAGGACCTCAGCAGCGGCTCTTGGCCGGGGTCTGGGCAGAGTGGAGGTTGTCCCGGCAGCCTCCCTTCACTGCTGGCTGAGCTCTGGGGGCCCCTCTCGCTGGCCTGACCGCTCTCTTCCACTCGGCTCTCTTGGTTCTCTCTCTTCGGCCACTGCTCCCCAGCTCTGTCTGCCGGCGACCCCAGAGTTATCGGCGGCCAGGTCTGGGCCCTGCCGGGGTGACGAGATGGCAAGCCCCTACGCCCTCACCACCAAGAGCAGAAGCCCAGACATGCAGAGCCAGCCAGCAGGCCACACGGGTCACGTGTGCAGAGAGCGCGCCTGTGTGTAGACATCTTAAAGGCACCCAGAAATCACCCTTACACCCCTGTGTCTTCAGGCTTCCTTCTGTACCCCAGTTGCTCCGATAAAATTGTTAGCCTGTTGCTAAAACCCAAAGCTACAAGTGAGCAGAATCCTTGCTCTGAGAGCAGGTGTGGGGAGCAGACGCGCCTGGTTCTCTGCCTGGCTGCCCTGTGGCAGCGGCTGTACCAGCCTCTGGGTGGCACGCGGCCTTGTTTGTTTACGGAGCTCTGCTCCTTCATTTGGGGTTTGGGGGCCCGGGATGCCTGGTATACTGGGGCCTCTCCAGCTACTCTTCCTACATAGGATGGGACTGGCCTAGAGGGCGGAGGGTCGTGTGACACCCAGAAATGAGGGCTGCCCAGAAGGCACAGGGGAGGGCAATCAAATGGGAGAGAGGTTAACCTCCCCGCGAAGCCACTTGGAAGTCAGGAGCCCTGGGAAAGAAGAGGAATAGGGGAAAGGGAGGAAGAGGAGATTGTTAACTCCTGACTGCTTTGCCCCGGGCCTCCTGGGCCCCTCCCTTTGCAAAACAGAAATATTGCAAAAATAGGCCAGCGCCATTTTGCGGAAGGCTGCCCACAGGTGGCGGGTCGGCCCCTCGCCCTCCGCCCGCCAGCGCGGTGGCCTCTCCTGACACTGGGCACCGGGAAGGCGGTGGGTGGGAGCGGGCAGAGGAGGGCCGGGGCCCTGCAGGGCGTTGCTGCCAGGGCTGCCCGTCCCCTCACCTGGTCTCCTCCTTCCTCCAGCCCCAGTGGCCCAAAGGGTAACCCGGGTCACTGACATGGAAGGAATCCCAGATGTGGGGCCCCGGGGGGTCTGTGGGACCGGAGGGGGCTGTGGTGGGGGGACCCCCGCAGGCTGCTTCCCTGGGGGAAGGAGGAGGGCAGCAAAGCGAGGAGAGGAGCGGGCGCCCAGCCCACCTCTGAGGCGGGCAGGAGGTGCTGCCCTGTGCTGGGGGGCGAGGGCAGGTGGCCTCGCTTGAGGGGTGCCCTGCCCTGGCTGCCAGAGCCCCTCCCTGGGCCGGACCGGGGCCGGGATGGCGCGGGGTGGGAGGGGGTGCTCAGGCAGGCGGCCGAGGCGCTGGAGGGAGGCAGAGGGCTGCGGACCCCAGCCCGAGGCGGGCGGGGCAGAAGGGCCCTTAGTGCAGGGGCGTGTCGGGGTCCGAGGCGGGCCCGGAGAGGCCAAGCCCAGCCACGGCGAGGCAGCCCGGGTCCCGGGGGTCCCCGCGCTCCGGGCGCCGGCAGCCGCGCGTGGGGTGCCCGGCGGCTGGAGGCCGGGGCGCGTGTCCCCGACACACCCGGCCCCCCCTCCCGGCGCGCGGGGCCCGGGCCCGGCGGAACCGCGCCCCCCGCGCGCCCGCAGCGCGCGAGCCGGTGGTGGTGGCGAGGGGGCGCGGCACCTGCGCCCCGCTCGCTCGGGGAAAAGTTTTGCGGGCGCGCGCGCCGCGAGCCCCGGGCCGGCCCCGGGGAGTCGGCGCGGCCGCCGTCGACTCGCGCTCGCGCGGCCCGGGCGGCCGAGGGGCGCGTGCGGGTGCGCGCCGGGGGCCCCCTCCCGCCGCGCGCCCCACCCCCGCCGCCGGCCGGGCGGGCGCCGAGTCCCCGCCTCCTCCCGAAGTGGAAGGTTTGGGGAATCGCCGAGCCAATGAGGCGGCCGCCGAGCCGGGGCGCGCGGGGCGGGGGCGCGCGGGGGGGCGGGCGCGCGCGGGGGGGCGGGCGCGCGCGGGGGCGCGCGGGGCGGGCGCGCGGGGCGCGGGGCGCGGGCGGGCTGCTCTTTCACCTGCCGGCGCGCGGGCCCGGCCCGAGGAGGCGGCGCCCGCCGCGCTGCCAATCACCGCGGCGCCTGGCAGCGCCCCCGGCCGCGCCCGCCCGCCCGCCGCTCCTGCCAAACTGTTACCCCGAGTGTTACCGGCAGGAGCAATGACATCAGGGCTTTAAAACAACTTGTTATTCGGGGAGTAATCAGTTGCAATTAGGCATTAATTAAGTATTATGAAAGTTGATTATTTAAGTGAATTCGGCTTTCGACTCTCCGACTATGGTGAGCTCCGCGCGCGGGGAGGCGGGGGGCGCCGCCGCGGGCGCGGGCGGGGGGCGCGGGCCGGGGCGCGGGGCGCGGGCGGGCGGGGCGCCCCGCGGCCCGGCGGGCCCCCCGCCGGCCGCGGCTATAAATAGTTTCTCTTTTACTTGGGTGAACTCGGAGCCCGGGCGCGGGGCCGGGCGGAGGGCGCGCGGGGCGCGGGGGGCGCCCTCGGGGCTCCCGCCGGACCCTCCCCGCGCGCGGGGCCGGGGCGCGCCCCCCATGGGGGGGCGCGGCGGGCGCCGGGGGGCGGGGCGGCTGGGGCGCGGGGGCTCGGCGCGAGACTAAACCAATGTCCTTTTTCTCTCCCCTCCTCTCGCCGGCGCGCCCCGAAGAGTTTGGGACCAAACAGAGGAGAATGGATCTCGGCGCAGGTACCGGCCGGTGGGAACCGGGGAGGCTCTTTCACTTTTCTTTCGGTTCTTTTACGGAAGTTCGTATTTTTAGCCCAATGAGGCGGCGCGGAGCCGGGTGGGGGCGGCCTGGAGGGGTCCGGCCCGCGCGCCCTGCTCGCCGGCCCTGCCGGGCTCGGGTTTTATTGCGATTATTTGCTGCTTGCCGGGCGCTGTGACTAATGTGATGCTTGTCATTATGAAAGAGCCGAGGGAGAGGGAGCTGGGGGGCACCCAGAGAGAGGATTTAGGGGTTTTTTGTGGGGGTTTTTGTTCTCCGTGTTTTTTTTTGAATGGCTCCGTGTTTTTTCTGTGTTGTTTTTTTTTTTTTTTTTTTTTCCTCAGCCTGCAAAGATCTCTGTGTGCCGGGCTGTGGGGTGTGTGTTTTTATTTTTTTAGTGGGGGGTGGTTTAGTTTTTGAAAGCAGCGTCCTGTTGGGAAAGGTGGTTAGTCTGGTTTCGGGGCGACTGTCTCAAGGTAAAGGAATTTAATTTATTTGGGACAAGGCTGTGTCGGATGATCAAGCTGCTTATTACAGCTAATGAGTATTTTTCACCTGAGAATCCGTGGGATGAGGCGGCTGTTATCAGTTCAAAGTGAGGGGCCCAGGACTCTCTCCCACCCGCCCACCCCCCTTTAGCCCCCACCCCCAGAGGGGGTGGACCAGACAAACGACTAAATCTGGAAGTCTGGTTTTGGGGGAACCCAGCATGGCACCTCCACCGGGGTTCAGGCAGCTGGCCCGGGGCAGAGTTTGTCCCGAGACTTTGGTGGTGGTTTTGGTTTTTCATCTAATTTTGTTCAATATTTGTCTTCTCCTCCCCTCTGGGGTTCCAACTTGAGCCCGGAGTCGGGTCTGCTGTGAGTCACTCCAGCTCTCGGTGAACCCTCTGTTGAAGCCAGGTTTCCACCGGGACCCTCAGGTCCTGAGCGAAGTGGCTTCCTCCTTGTGTTCAGCCCAAGTCGGGCATAGACAGGCCGATAATTCATTGAGACTGATCTCTGAACCTTCTGTTTCGCAGATCGAAGGCTAGGTGGTTTGGTGGCTGTCAGAATTGTTTATTACAGGCCCAAGTTCGTGGCGTGGCCCCCGGGGACCCATGCGCTGACCCCTGACCCTCCAAGGTCAAAGGGGAGTGGGCAGGGTGGGCGGCAGGGTGGCTGGCTTTGGGAAGGGGGTGTGTGTTTGGGGGAGAGGGTCGTTCACCGACTTGGGAGTGCGTGCTTAGCCAGGTGTGATCTCGGGGGGCCTCAGGCAGAGGTCCCCACCACCTCCTCCGTGCCCGGAAAGGTGGGACACCCCCTGCTGGGCAAAGCGGTGAAGGTGTCTAAGGCCACCACGGCTGCCACCCTGCCCCTCCCTGCCGTCCACTCCCACAGAGAAGCGGCCGCCCCCACCTCTAATCAGGTCTCATCACCACCCTGTCAGGCCCCACCTCCTTTCTTCGGAAATGGGCCCCCACCCATCCCTGGCCAAGGAGCCAACCTCGTGGATGGGCCGGGCCCTAGCGCCACCCCTACCTGGGCCAGGCGCCTCTGCTGTGGGCGGGCTCTTGGGACCCAGGCATTACTCAGCTGGGAGGCCGGCCCTCCTGTCTTCCTCCTGCCAACCTGCCACAGAGCAGGCGTCTGTCCTGCCCACACCAGCAGTCGCACCCAGGCGGCGGGGCCTGGCTTCCAAGCCCTCCTCTGGCTATCTGGAGCGTCCCTGTGGCGCGAGGGCCACCTAGGCAGTGGGGGCCTTTGCAGACCTCTCCTGGCATCTGTCCGGGGCCTGAGGGAGACACGGTTCTCCCAGAACTCCAGGGACGGCTCTGGAAACTTTTCCTAGAAGCTCGAAGGGCCCTGAGGTCAGCCGGTCCCTCCCGGAGCCGGAGCAGGGCGCTCCCAACATGACCCGGGCCTGGACTCTGGCCACTCGGCGAGGGGAGGCCGGGTATCAAAGTTCTGTTTCCTGGAGGAGTCATCTGGTGATAACCATCTCACCCTTTTCTTTGAACTTGGAAGTTTCACTTAATCTCAGAACTTCAGAAGAAAAGCATTTTCCCCTCTTCGAAAAAAGGGAAGCAGGTGGGAACTCTGAGATCCCCAGCTAGCTCCATCCTCCGCCGCCACCTCCGGGTGCGCTCCTGGACACACGGGGTCGGCCTCGGGGCTGGTGTCGTGGGGGACTCTCTTCTCTCGGGGGGACCTCGGGCAAGTTCCTCGGAGGGACTCCAGCACGGCACCCGGCTGCAGGTGCGGCCTCGGGCTGGCAGGCCCCGGGGACCCGGCCCGCGCGGGATCACAGGCTAACGTGGCCTCCGGCCTCAGCGAGGCCCCGGTCCCGAAGCCCTGGCCATAAGCGACTCAGCAGCGGGGGAGCCGCGGCTTCTCTGGAGGGGACAGCAGGACCTTGGGACCCTCAGGGGCCGGGTGGACCCCTTTCCCCCGAACATAGTTCAGCCAAGGGCTGGATCAATCTGGACGTCTTTAGCAATAAAAAATGCCGATGTCGTCCTAATTCACCAGGCCCCGAGATGACAGCAAATTTACATTTTTTAATTAAACTAGCAGCCAGTTTTTATGAGAGGGGGTTGGGTTATGCAAATCAAATGGTTGTGTACGGAAGATTAGGAGAGTTTGGGAATAAATTCCACAAATGCTAATAAAAAAAAAAAGGAAAGAGAAAGCGAGGGAGGGCGGGCGGAGAGAGGGAGCGAGGAGGACAGAGTTCCATTAGGCCCTTTTAGAGTGATTTCCCAGGGGGAGGGCGCTGGGAGGGGAGGGGGTGGAGGGAGCTCTCAGCACAGGTAAATCCATCCTGCAGTTGGGAAGTTCCCCAGGATTAGGCCCCACTAGGCTGATTCCTGGGCCCTGAGCAGAACTGGAGGCTCCGCGAAAATGGCTGGGAGATGGTGCTAGAGCTTTGGGAGACACTTGCCCTGGATTCTCGGGGATCTTCTTGTCATCGCCCCAGTCTCCCTCGGGGGGGACTTGCGGAGAAGGGGAGGCTGTCCAGGGCCTGAGCCGTCTATCAAGATCCAGAGTAGGCCCTACGTGTGAAGGGTCAAAGAGAGCAAGTTCAAAGGCCTGGCCACGGGGCCGCAGGGCTGGGGGGAGCGAGTGAGGGGTCCCTGACGCGATGGCTGCGGCTGTAGTGTCACGGCGAGTCAGTAGGAGGAGTCGGTGCCGCTCCTCAGCCAGGCCCGAGCTTCTCCCCTGGGATAAGGTGTGCTGGGACTTCAGGCCAGGACCCCTGACCCCCCCCCCCAGAAGCCTCAGCTGTGGAGGTCCGGGGAGGGATGGGGTGACGGGAGCTGAACCAGCTTGGCTCCATAGCCTGGTGCTTGGAGCAGAGCTCCTGGTGCGGTGTGCGTGGAGGGCATGGTCTCCGGTCAAGGAGAAGAAACCCTGCAGATGTCTTTCAGGTGTTAACTGACCCCAAGGAGCCAAGAGCCCCAAGTTCTTGCTTTCCCCGCCCAGCGCCTGCTGCCTGGCGCGCAGGCCCCCTCCAGATCCACAGAGCTTCTGTGAGCAGCTGGTGCAGGGCAGCGCCTGGCCGGCTCCGTTGCGTGAAGTGGGCCTGGGACGAGGCTCGTCCCAGCAGAGGGAGAGGTGGACTCGGCTTGGGGCAGAGCACGCTGCCCTCGACGTTCCGTCCTCAAGCCTCCCTTGGCCAGGGACACCCACTCGACCAGTCTAAGCCGGGCCAATCCCTGCAGTCATGTTGGGCACCGGTTCTGCCAGTCTGCTGCAGGGGTTAGGGGCACTGGTGCCATCTTGGCATGTAGGAACAGTGAGAGCCCAGGGTAGAATGGGCCGTCTTGGAGGACGTCACAAGTTTCCTAGTACCTCTCAGTGGCTGGCTGTGACCTCTGGAGGGACTTGGCACCCTCTGACCTTTCAGGTCTCAAGTTCTCTGACTCCCAACTTGACTTGACCAGGAGGCCCAAATGGGGGTGTTCTAGGGGAGGGCGCGAGTGGATGAGGGCAGAAGCGCTCGCTTGCACCTTCTCGTGGAAAGAAAGCCTTGGAGACAGGCAGCTCTGGGCTGGGAAGTGACCCTTGACCCGGCCCTGGTTATGAGATGTCAGACTGGCGGAATCTTCGCCAACTGGAGCAGAGGCAGCGGGGGCAGGTGGGCAAGGCGCCCCGGAGAGGGAGAGAACCCACAGGACCCTTCCACCCGGTAGGGGTTAGCCCTGGGAACCCCTTAACTCTCCTCTCCGGGGCCTCGCCCCCACGCCCGTGTTCCCCAGCCCCCACTGCCGGGGAATCTGGCTGCGTTGCAGCTTGGGTTTTTATGATGGAAAAATAGAATAAATGGAGGCACCTTTGGAGGCTGAGTCACGGCAGGCAGCAGCATCTCCTCATTAACGCTGCTGGCCTGGCGCAGGTCCCTGGGCCGGGGATTGGGTGGGGCCCTGCTCCTCCCCTTCCTGGACCCTGCCAGGTGGGGGTGCCGCGGCCCCTCTGCCAGCCTCCTCTGGCGGCCCACCCTTCTGAGAGGATTCAGACCGTCTCTCCACCCCTGCCCTTTTGTGGGGGGGGGGTGGTGGCTGGCCTGGTGCCCTGGTCCCCCGGCTTGTCCTTTATCGCTGCCCTCCCGAGCTGGCTTTTAAACCTTGACCCCCAGGCTGCTGCCACGCCTCCTCCTCTGCCTTCTCCTCCTCATCTTCACGGGGAAGGAAGTTGCTCTGTAGTAATTACAGCCTGTGGGTCCCCAAGGCCAGCAGCAGCTGTGTCCGGGAGCGGGAGGAGAGGGGAGCTGGAGGAGAGGGGGGCTGGTGGCCCCGGTGTGCAGAGGAGACCGGGCCACCTCGCTTGCGAGGATGGCGGAGGCCAGGGACCTGGAGGTCGAGCGGGCACCCCTCTGGCTGCCGGTCCCAGAGTCTTCGGGACATAGTCCCCACCCCAGGGGAGGAGGTCCAGGCAGGTGGGGAGGTCTGTGGGTCAGTACGGATTTGGGGACACCCATAGAGAAGATGCAGAAACAGGAC